TTGAGCCCAGGAGTTGGAGGTTGCTGTGAGCTGTGATGCCACAGCACTCTACCCAGGGGGACAGCTTGAGGCTCTGTCTCAAAAAATAAATAAATAAATAAATAAATAAAAAATCCTTTCTTTTCCTTGTTCTCTTGCTTTTATCTATTTGTAAAATAAAATATCCACAATTAAAAAAAAATAAAAATAACATCTAAGAGCCTGAACTGATAATATACACCATGAGAAGGCATTGATGAGCATTAAGGTTCTAAGTTCTATGTACTGCTCAGGAGGAGACATGAGAACATCAATGAACTTTAGATTCTATTTAGTAACCACTAAGATTACTTCACATATACAAATGTAAACTTCCCGATCAGCAGAGGGAAAATACAGACACAAGAAAAATCCACAAAGGTCTAAAATACAAAGAAGGTGGAAAAGGAACAGTAGAGAAAAAGACAGCAGGAAGGAAAAGAGGGAAGAAAACTAGGACAAATAAGACCCAAATACATCAGTAATTATATCATTGTACATTTAATAAACTACCTAATTAAGAGAAAAGGATTGTCTCATTGGGTAAGAAAATCAAAAATCTGCTGGTGCGGATGTGGAAAGAAGGGAACAGTTTTACACTGCTGGTGAGACTGCAAACTAATACAACTTCTTTGGAAAGACGTATGGAGAATCCTCAAAGAACTCATATTAGACCTCCCATTATATCCTGCATTCCCATTACTAAGCATCTACCCAGAAAAAAAAAAAATCCATTCATCATAAGGACATTTGTACTAGCTTGTTTGTTGCAGCTCAATTTACAATTGCGAATATATGGATATAACCTAAACACCCACCAATCCAGGAACGGATTAATAAGCTGTGGTATATGTATACCATGGCTATTCAGTCACTAAAAAAGATGGAGACTTTACATCTTTCATTTTAACCTGGATGGAGGTGGAAAACACATTCTTCTTAGTAAACCATCACAAGGATGGAGAAGCAAGAATCTAATGTATTAAATACTTATATAAAACCAGTAGACAATCTAAAATACATGCCCCATAAGAGAAAAACTCAAATCAATTCAAGGTAAGGGGTGGGAGAATGGGGGAGGGTGTGCTCCCACTTACTGGGGACAATGTTAGGGTGTATGGCCATCTCTTGAGGCGGGGACACAATTATAAGAGGAACTCTCCCTAATAGATGTAAACATTGTAAGAGAGAGAGAGAGAGAAAGAAAGAAAGAAAACAAAAATCAAAGGAATGAAAAGGAAGAAAGGCACTAAGAGGCTGGGCAACTCACTAGCGGGGACTGGATCAGGCCATCTGTCTCCAGCCTTACTTCTCACACTACATACTGCCTTTAAAAATGGCACAGTGGGAAACAAACTTGGAAATTTACTTTCAAAACCCTAACTATGAGCGTGGCACCTATGGAGTAGGGCACTGGCCCCATATGCTGAGGATGGCGGGTTCAAACCCAGTCCCAGCTAAGAAACTGCAAAAAAATAAAAATAAAAAACCCTAACTATGAAATCTTGATAACATAATTTTTCTTTAAAGAGAGATAAATATTAGGGCTTCTTAATTTTTTTAATTATAAAGAACATTTATATATTACATTTTAAAATCCAATCAAAGCTTGGATTTGCTTTTGTTTTCCTTCAAAATTGCACAGTAGAGATGTATAAACTTAATTTTTCACAGAAAACAACTACAAAAACACTGTCTTTTAATCATCTCTAGGACATTTTTAGGAAAGTTATAAAATAATGTACATATCTAATCACAATTGTATCTAAACTGAATTACATTTTACACCTTACAAATGCAAATAATGTAACCTAATCATCCATACTCTCTTATGAATCCAAAATAAAAACCAAAATAAAAATGTTCTTATTCTTAAAATTATAAAAACAAGGTATGTGTCTTAAGGTAAATGTTCACTGAACAACTCAAATTTTCATTTTTAACAAACCCCAGAACCAAGGCCATACAGAAATAGATACGCTTTTTCTAAAGTCTCAGGTTAACATCTTCAAGACTCAAGATGACAGGTGTGGGGGGAGTTACCTCATGAAATGAATCGGGATTCCCGGGGTTAAAAAGAGAGGGTAACTTTTCTTCTAATCCTTGTACTATTGCTGGCCAGACAGAATTCACCAAAAAGTCATATCCAGGAACAGTATTGACTTTTTCACTGTAAGATAAGAGCAAAATTTCAATAAAATAGACCATAATCTTCTTTTTACAAAGAGCAAATGTCCATCATTTTGCTCCTACTCATAGGTCTTCAGCCTAAAACTTCTTTTGATATTTTTTTAAAGTCATATTTGTCAGGAGGCACCCATAGCTCAGTGAGTAGGGCGCCAGCCACATACACGAGACTGGTGGGTTCAACCCCATCCTGGGCCTGCTGAACAACAATGACGACTGCAACCAAAAAATAACTGAGGGTTGTGGCAGGTACCTGTAGTCCCAGCTACTTGGGAGGCTGAGGCAAGAGAATCACTTAAGCCCAAGTGTTGGAGGTTTCTGTGAGCTGCGATGCCACAGCACTCTACCAAGGGCGACATAGTGAAACTCTGCCTCAAAACAAACAAACAAAAAAGGTCATATTTGTCAGTTGGCTTCTAGATTCAAATTTCTACTTTAGTCCTTGAATCTTAGAAATATCCTAAGTCCTGACTCCTATATCTGTGGTGAGGATAAGGCAAAACCCCCACATAAAATTGCCTGGGTACCATTTCTCCCTCTAAAATAGGCTATCACATTCTGTACTCTTATCTTAAAAAAAAAAGTACAATAGTCTAATACAGTAGGAAAAGTAAATTCACATTCAACCTGAATACCATGAAACCACACAACACTTGAAATTATGCTAATGTATCAATTACAGACAGCTTTGCATTTAAGTTATTTCTAAGATCAGTTCTAAAATTCTATAACTATTTCATATAAAATCTTGATTACAGATTTTGATACAAAAAATTAATGTGTTTTGTGTTTGCCTGCCTACTTTTTTCAGCATTGGACTTTGGATTCCTAATTCACAAACTTCAATGAAAAGTAGCACTGAAATTAAAGCAGGCACTCTGGATCCAGAGTACCTGGGTTCAAATCTTAGAGAATCATTCAACATCTCTGTGCTTTGGTTTCTTCATCTTTCAAACAGAGATCACCATAGTATCAACTTCACATAGTCATTATAAGGATTAATATTATAATGCCAGGAGGGGAGAGGCAAGATGGCCAACTGGAGCCAGCTTTCCACAGAGGCTCCCATCCAGAAGAGTTAATGGACAGAAGTTTATCAAGTGAGTTAATGGTCTGGAGTTGAGCCAAGAGATTAGATTGAAGAGTACACATCACCCCTGCTGAGGTGAGCTGCGACCTCAAGGAAACAAACAATAGGTACAAATACTGGTACTTGGGACTCCAGTGCCAAGAGGACAGGAGTCCCCTCCCCCATGAGAACAGCTCCCAGTGTACTTTCTACAAACAAACGAGCAGCGTTCAGATCTCCTCCTATTTTATCCCACAGGAGAAACCTGCTCAAAACTGGATTTCCTTCCCCAGAGAGGGCCCACTAGTGTGTCATGGCACTCTCCCGCTAGGCATAAAACTTAACATATACTCTACCTGCAATTCTGAACTCCCAGCACTCCCCTCCACTCCCACCCTGAGATCTGGAAGCCAGTCCCCTGCAGAGTCCAGACTCTTGGGTAATTTCCCAAGAGGTACGGACAAGGTATGGGCTGCTACAAGTCTGTGCTAAATCAGCGGCATGGGTGTAAAGTGGGACTGTGGCATGAGGAAGTCAAGTGGGAGAGGGAGAAACAGTGCCCTACAGCAGAGTGCAGCAGTGGTGCTGCACCAGTAGGAACAATAGGGCTCACACTCCTGGTGGTATTTTAGAAAAACACTTCCCATCTCTCTTAGCAACCAGAGGGAGCCAGGCCTCTACTCTGGGGACAGCCACAGTAGAGCATATCTGGGACTGAAATGTACGCCCCCTGAGCAAAGGGTATGCCTGAGGCGATTCCTGCCCTGAGTGGGGCTCAGAGGGGACTGAGACTAGAATACATGTGCACAGAGCCAGCATACTCCCAGGGCAGAGCTCAGTCAGAATTGCTGCTTTTGTGAGCCCAAGATGCACCCAGTCCCCAGTGAAGGATAGCTGGGACAAGATGGCATGTAGCAGTGGCATCAGCCCAGGGTAGGGTAGGAACTGAGAGTCCTCTGTGAGCGCTAATCACACCTGCCCAACAAAGAGTGCAGTGGTAAAAGAGATGCCAGCTCCACAAGAATTTGAGAGGTGGCACAGGGTAGGGCTGAGTTGTAGCTTCTGAGAACTCAAAATGAGCCTGGCCAATAGTGAACACAGCCAGATAGAAATGCAAATTCCACAAGAATATAATTGCCAGTAGTATCAGCCCAGGGTGGGGCTAGAACCAAGTGACATTCCCCAGCTTCCATTAAGCACCTGAAGTAGTCAGGTTTCAGCTCCCCCTGCTGGATGGTGGCAGAGTGTGACAGCCTAGCTGAGGAGACAATCTCCCTGTGACTCTGGCAGGCACAAACCCCTGGCACACTTGCTCATTGGAGGGACTGGGTCACAGCCTCGCAGGGTTACCAGTGACTAGGTGTGACAGAGGTGCAAGGTGGGGAAGGAGGCATTAACCTCCCTGCAACTAACTCATTGTTGGGCGGGCCTTTCTGACTCCATGGAGCACTAGAGTGAGCCACATCTGAGCTGCCAATAGACCCTTGCCATCTAGTTGCTGGAGACCTATTGAACTCTCACACTTGAGAGTTGGTGCTGACTGGGACAACTGCTTTGGAACTCTTGACCTGGGCCAATCACCCGAGGACCCTCCAAGGTGGTATCCTGGTTGTGTGGTAGGGGGAAGGTTTGATTTTCCTCTTCCAGTTGTTGCCTATGGGGGCAGGCTTCTTAGTTGCTTGTATTTCTCCACAGCTGAGACTTCAACCCAGAGTCATTGATTCATTAGGATTGGACAGAGACCAACTGAATACAAGACAGAGCCACCTAGCCCCACCATACCAAGCAGGTCCCCAGAGTCACAGGCTATAGTACTGTATGGGTTCTTTGCAAAGTTGTAGGAGAAAAGCTGCAGTCACCAGTCCCAGCTCGCTGACAAAGGGCTGGTTAATCATTACTCCAGGAGCCCCCAATCAAATTTCAACTTACCTGCTCATCTAGCCAAATGGTGAAAAATAATCATGGGGCAGAATCAGTGAAAAAACTCTGTCAACATGAAGAATCAAAGTAGATCAACTCCCCCAAGGAACGACAAGGTGGATACATCAGAAAGTCCCATGCATAAACAAATGGGTAAGATGTCAGAAATCAAGTTTAGAATTTGGATGGCAAATAATGCTAACAGAATGGAAGTAAAGTTGGAACTAGAAATTCTAGGAATAATTCAAAAGTTGTCTAAAGAATTGAAAGGCAAAATCACCAAAGATTTTGACACATTGAGAAAAGTATTTGCAGCCCTCCAAGATATGAGAAATACAGTAGAATCCCTCAGTAACACAATGGAGCAGGCAGAAGAAAGGATTTCTGACATTGAAGACAGCTTCTGAATGATCCCAAATGCTCAAAGAGGAAGAGAAGTGGAGAGCAAAAACAGATCATTCTCTCAGAGAACTGTGGGACAATTCCAAGAAGACAAACATTCACTTTATAGGAATTCCTGAAGGCAACAAGGTTGTTTCAAAAGGTCCAGATGCTCTACTCCAAGAGATAATCGAGGAGAACTTCCCAAACATGGCAAGAGATTCTGAATTCAAATAGCAGACAGTTTCAGAACCCCAGTACGACTCAACCCAACCCAACCCAGATGGACTCAACCCCATCTCCCACACACATTGTAATTAACTTCACCAAAGTTAATATAAGGAGAAAATTCTGCAAGCAGCCAGATTTAAGAAAACCATAACCTATAAGGAGAAGAATATTAGAATGACTGCAGATCTCTCTGTAGAGACTTTTCAAGCCAGAAGAGGATGGTCATTGACCTTTAACCTTCTAAAACAAAACAATTTTCAACCCAGGATCTTGTATCCAGCTAAAGTGATTTTCATTTATGATGGAGAAATTAAATACTTTAATGACATCCACATGTAGAAGAAATTTGCCATAACTAAGCCAGCTCTCCAGGATATTCTCAGACTCCACAATGACCAGCACAATGCTATACCACCAAAGTAAACTCACTCAGAAACTTTTGATCAAATTCCAACTTCCACAGTGATGAAAGGATTAAAAAGGTTCACTAGACTTTCAAAAAAAACTCGACACCCAAAACATTACCAGGCTTATCAATACTCTCAATTAAAGTGTATGGCTAAAATTGTCCTGTAAAGAAGCACAGGTTAGCTGACTAGATACAAAAACTCAGTCTAGACATCTGCTGCTTATAAGAATCTCATCTAATCTTCAAGGATAAATATAGCCTCAGGGTGAAGGGATGGTTGTCTATAATTCAGGCAGATGGAAATCAGAAAAAAGCAGGTGTTGCAATTTTAGTCACAGATACAATTGGCTTTAAACCAACAAAGATAAAGAAAGATAAGGAAGGTCACTACATATGTGTTAAGGGCAACACTCAACATGATGAGATTTCAATTAACCTTTATGCACCCAACCAGAATGCTCCTCAATTTATAAACGAGACCCTAACAGGCATGAGCAACTTGATTTCCTCCAGCACCATAATAGTCAGAGATTTTAATACCCCTTTGGCCATGTTGGATAGATCCTCCAGTAAGAAACTAAACAAAGAAGTTTTAGACTTAAAATTGACCATTCCACAATTGTATTTAACAAACATCTACAGAACATTTCATCCTAACAAAACTGAATACACATTTTTTCTCATCAGCCCATGGAACATCCTCCAAAATTGATCACATCTTAGGTCACAAGTCTAACCTCAGCAAATTTAAAAGAACAGAAATTGGCTCGGCACCCATGGCTCAAGCGGCTAAGGCGCCAGCCACATACATCTACGGTGGCGGGTTCGAATCCCCAGCCCGGACCCACCAAACAACAATGATGGCTGCAACCAAAAAATGGCCAGGCGTTGTGGCGGGCGCCTGTAGTCCCAGCTACTTGGGAGGCTGAGGCAGGAGACTCGCTTGAGCCCAGGAGTTGGAGGTTGCTGTGAG